ATGATGGCCAGCTTCTGGTTCACCCTTGTGAAACGTAGCCTAGGCCGGCGAAAACCCGGCACTCCGCTCCTCCGTCCGGGGGTTGTAGGGATAAGAGGTCAATCGTCTAACGACTACGGCATGCATGCGTGTACATGAGTACACCCCCCCTTCCCCATGTCCCGTGCGTTGCGAGACTCAGCAAGAGAGGACGCGCGCACAGCAAATCCTTGCTTGCTGGTTTCGGCTTGCCGTGCTATGTATGCATACCCTCCACTCCTACCTTGAGCAGGTGCGGTCGTTCCTCGTCCATCCGCACCGCGATCGTGCTTCCCCAGTACAGCGGAAGCTCCCTGGCCAAAGACCTCAGCTCACGCACAAGCCGTCTCTGGCGAGCGGGAAACGCGGACCCCTCCGCCTCCGCTACTTTCCAGAAGTGGTGCTGCTGCTTCGGCTTAGCAGCAGCCGCAGCGAGAGCTGCCAGCCCAGGAGCTGTTGGTGCCGAGACGGGTCGGGCGGCGCGAAACGAACGAGTGTTCGCAGCAAAAGCAACAGTGGACAAAATTGAGAACGTCGGAGACCAAAAAAAAGCTCGCGGCACAAAAGGAGGTCGCTTGCCGTGGGCGCCTACTCTTGCGTCCTCCGCAAAACAAGCATGGATATGGGGACACCGCCGTCGTGTGTGCATGCGGTGGCTTCTGCTGTCCCGAGTCTCTCTCTCGTCGAAACACAGCGGCCATCCACGCCAAACGGCTCCTCGACAAACAACACACGCGCGGAGGCCGACGCCTGGATGACTGGCCGCACACCGCGCCCCAGTTCCTAACACAAACAGTAAATTCCACTCCCCCGCTACCGGTTCTGGCAGAACACATCTGGACCCCAACACACGCCAAAAAAAAAAAGAAAACACCTCACCATCATCAGCCTTCTCCCCAACAGTCACCGGCGGCGGTGGCAGCGCTGCTACCTCCATCTGCATGGTGGCGAACTGCTCCTGCTCGATTGCTTCCAGGTAGAGCGCTTTCTCCGACGGCACGGCCTCCACGGATTCAGTCGGCGCCACCACCTCCTCCGACGCCGGCAAGTCCTCCGCGGCTCGTCCCCCGGGGTCCGCCTCGGCCCGGGTCGCCGACGACCCGTCCCCGTCTTCGGTAGTAGCCGTGCCGGCAGCAGCAGCAGCAGCAGCAGCAGCAGCAGTCTCGCCCGCACTCTCGGGGCTAGCTGCTGCCGCCGGCCCCGCCACCGCTGGCGCCGAGACGGCCTTCTCGCCCCTCTCCACAGTCGCAGCGCCCGCTGTTGCTGCGTCGTCACCAGCGGCGGCAGCCGCAGCGGCGGCGGCAACGGCGGACTTAGCCAGGACCAAGACCGACCGAGCGAGGTCGGCCATCGCCACCCCCTGATCGTGCTCCCGCTTCTCCTCCTCGTAACTCTTCGGAGGCGGGAGCTCCCGCCGCCGGCCCCCCCTGAGCCCCATCGGCGGCTGGGCGCCGCCCATGAACGACGTGGGCGGCGGCGGAGGCGGGGCCATACCATACATTGCGGCCGCTGGAGT